CGAGCATCAAGGTGTGCCCCGAGGCACAGGCTCGCTGCGGGCGCCTCGCCGCCCTCTGCGGGGAGCAGCGCTTCTCGGAGAATTCTGGAAGACGGAACATCTTCTTATGCCAGAAAGCAAGGAAGTGCTCAGGAAACAATGGGACAGAGACTCGTCCACATCCTAAAAACACTTAGAACCTGCGAATATGTTTTCTTACGTGTCAAAAGGGTCTTTGCAAATGTGATTCAGTTAAAGACCTTAAAGCAGGACTGTTATTCTGGATTACCTGGGTGGGTCTGATGTAGTCACAGGGAACCTTAGACGACGGAAGAGGGTGGCAGAAGAGTCAGAGGGAGATACAAAGATACTGTGGTGCTGATGGAGGGAGGGGCCGTGAGCCACAGAATGCGCAGCCCCTAAAAGGCAGGGAGGTGGATTCTCCTCTAGAGCCCTCAGAAGGAACAGAGCCTGGCTAACGCTTTGATTTTAACCCAATGAAACCGATTTTGGATTTCTGACCTCCCACACTGTAAAATAATAAATTTGTGTTTTTCCTGGGCCGTGAAGTCTGTGGTAGCTTGTCCCAGCGGCAGTAGGAAACATACACACTGCCTCTGAAGCACTTTTGACAAAAATGCATAACCTGAACATAATCTTGAGGAAACATAACTTAAATGCAAATTAAGGACCATCCTACTCAATAACTTGCCTGTAGTCTTAAAAAAAAGTTAAGATTATGAAAGACAAAGAAAAGCAGATTAATGATGCATGGCAACTGAGCAATACTCAGTCCTGGATTCTCTCCTAGCCGGCAGGAGAAATAGCCCTAAGTGACATCATGGGGACAATTGGTAAAATCTCAATATGAACTGTGAATTAAATCACAGTGCTGCATTCATGTTACGTTTACCAATTTGGAAACTGTACTGTGAGTACCTAAGAAAAAGTCTTTGTTCTTAGGAAATTTACCAAGATACTTAGAAGTAAAGAGGCATGGTGTCAGCAGCCTAATTTCCTGTGGTTCAGGGGGAAAAATCTCTAGCTCTCAAGATCTTATATCCACATCTACTTATCTATATGCCTATTATCCAGAGAGAGAGAGAGCAACTGTGCCAGATGTTACTGAGTAAGGAGGACATGAGAACTCTTTTTTTGTACAATTCTTGCAACTTCTCTGAAAATGTGAGGTCACATCAAAATGAAAAAAGAAGAAGACAGCAGACAGTTATCCCTTTCTGGTCTGGCTCGATAGACTCCAGAGGGAGTCCGTCTTCAGCGGTAAATGGTGAGCTCTTTCCAGCATCAGTGTTTGGAAGGTGGCTTTAGATCTGCCAGAGACCACGGATTCACCGAGGGTAGAGCTTTCAGTACCTCTTTCAGATGTTCTGCAGAGAGGTAGTTGCTGAGGCAGTAAATGCCCCAAAGTGGGATCTAGAGGGTGAGAATGAAAGTAAGGGGACCTCTCTACTGGCTCCCTAGTTGAGCAAGAAGGAAAAGGAGGAGGAGGAGGAAAATGTGGAGAAAGACTGGAGGGAGGGGGAGGGGGAGGACCAGAAGGCCACGGCCGTTCTAGAGAGCAGGGGTGGGCTGGGAGATGGGGACAGGGACATCACCAAAAAGAAGAGGAGTCGGAAGTGGGGAAGCACTTTCTGAGCCATGAAGACAGCTTGAAGCAGTGTTTCCTCCACCTGTTGAAGGAATGGGACATAAGTGATGGAAAGGGCAGGTGGTGGCTGCTCTGTGAGCCTTGGGCAATGTTACCTGGTGTGTTCACTCCACCTTCCCCTATTTTGAGAACATGGGTGGTGAAGGAGGTGGATTTGACACCACTGATTCCTCTGCTTGTGCAAGTTGGGAAGCCTGGGCTTCGGGCCCAGCACTGCATGGCCACCAGCTACAGTTTCCACACCATCAACCTCCTCCCCAAAGCCCCGCCCACAACTGAAAAAAACTTGCAGGAATGAAGTCTGCTCCATGAAACAGTGTAACTGAACCACATTGTTCACTGGGTGGAGTACCCTGGTCTACTCCGGTGTCATTCACATTTCCCCTTTGGGTACAGGCCTGGCAAGGACTCGCAGCGCCCATGGTGTCCTCGGGCCTGGCCGCTCCTTTTTTCACTCCCAGCAGCTTGTGCCAACAGCCCCCATCGTGTAAGACCATCTGGAGGCTTGTGTTTGTGCCAGAAGCCAAACTATTCCAGTTCCTCAGTGGTGGTGACCCTCACCCTCTTCTAAAGGATAAGATCACTCATGGCTGGGAGAAGAATATAGCAATTTAGTAAAATTTACTTGTTACGCTTTTTACATTGAAAGAGAAAAGGTGCAGATCTGAGCCCTAGGAAGGCCTGACCATCCAACATCAACTGGTACAAAAAGAGACAGCGATTGCAGAGGTCAGGGAAACAGCCCAAGGGAAGAGGGACTCTGATGACGCCCTGAGGTGGAGGTGGGGCCAGGCGTGGATCTTTAGAGCCCAGTCCGGGGCGGCCTTGGCTGAGGCCATGAAGGACCACATGGGGGCAGGGTGGGTGGAGGGAGTGCAGTTATTACCTGAAGGTTGTGAAAGGCTGTGGGGCAAACACATGACGCCAATAAGCCATATGGCCCAGGCCGTTGGCAGAAAGGGAGGAGGAGAAGAAGGCAGTAAAACTCAGTGGCAGGCAGAGCCTGTTTCCCCCCTTCCCACAGCCCCTGCCTCCATCCTGACTGTGGCACCTGGCCCCTGATGGGCCGGGATCTTCCAAGAGCATTTCATCCCAGATGCAAGACCCAGATTTGACGAGTTGACACCAGCCTACTTGGGCTCTGGAGTGGACTCTGCCGCTGAGGCTTGGGGCAAGTCACTGCCTCTCTCTGGACCTCAGTTCCCCTACCTGTGAGTCGGGGAAATTGAACTATGTCATAGACCCCAACCGTTTTGAGAACGAGGCTCTCACTTCACAGCTGCACCTGGAGATTCACCTCACAGTTGTCATTTTAGCCTCCACTGATGGAGAAAATACTGCGACCAAGAGCTGCTGTGAATTCAGTAACACTTTGGAAAAATGAGCAGTTTATTGGTCACGGCAAATACTGAAAAATGCTGGTCCCTGTGGGTGCAAAGCAATCTATTTACCTTCTACGCGGGGCCCAGCACCTCCAACACCTCCCTTCCACGTGGCAGCGCCCAGCGCAGAGCCTGCGCATAGCAGGTGCTTGTGAATGGGCAGGTTGTCCCAGTGGAGTCCAGAGGCAGCAGGGCCATGGGCCCCGCTGGCAGGCCTGTCTGTGGGTCCAGCTCCTGCGAGGTGAGCACTGGGGTCAGAGAGCGCAGCCAAGGCCTACTTTAAGGAGTCCAGGAGAATAATTTCCACGGAATATTTATAAAAAGACTTCAGGCCACCAGCTCTGAGGCTCTGCCCATGAGACAAATGAGACGTGGGAGGCCGGCAGGGCAGAGTGACAGACAGACCCAGACAGAGGCTCACTGAGAAGGGGGTGGGGGCTGGGATGGCACCCAAGGCCTCCTTCAGGACACAGGATCCAACTTCCTTACTGTCCCCAGGGGCAGACCAAGGGTGGAAGGTCCCCATCCGGTGCCTTTCCAGGGCTGGTGCCGAGCAGAGGCCTCCCCAGGCAGCCCCGCAGTCCTGTGAAGCAGAACTGTTATCCCTTCTTCACAGATGAAGGGACGGGAGCCCAGAGATGCCAGGGGGCTTGCCTGAGCCACACAGCCGGCTAGGGCCAAGCTGAGGCAGGGTACTGGGCCTCCAGGCCCGTGTTGTCTCAGTCCTTCAAGGGAAGAGGGGGCCTACGCTTCACAGTGTCACCAAGACTCGCCCGCAGAAGCAGAGATCCCAGCCCCAGGGGTGAACCCTGTTCACGTGTCAGCCTCAGCGTAGCAAGGTGCACTGTCCAGGTGAGCGAGGCGAGCCCATCATGCCGGCCCTGGGATCCGAAGGGCTTCTGAGGGCTGTGACAGAGCTTCAGCCTTCGCTCCCACCCCCAGGACCTGGCCCACTCCCAGGGCACCAGGTGCAGCTGCTTCTTTTGGTCACGTAGCCGGGACACTAACCTGACTCCTGTGACCCAGACCCAGCCTTAAGGAGGGGCCAGGAGCTGCCATCTGACCTGCTATCCCAAGACAGATAAAGAGGGCCTCTGGTCCCATGAACCCACTGACACAGGAGCTGGGGCCCTGGGAGGACACTGACTGCCCAAGGCCAGTCTTCCTCCCTCCCTTTATCTATTGTGTCATCTTGATCCAAAAAGGGCTTCAGAGGATTTATAAAATACTTCTTGACATGATTTTTTTTTTTTAATGAGAAAAAAACTGGGGATGAGGGGAAGTCCTGGAGGTAAGACTGAGGTCAATGATGAGATGCAGCAGAAGGGGGCATCTGCACTGGTCCTGAGACAATGTCCAGGAGGGTGTTTTAGGTGGGATCTCAAACGCAAAACCCAGAGATGTGACCACTGAGTGGCTGCAGTTTCTTGGGGAAGCCCAGGCAGGCCCAGAGCCAGCGCCCTTCCCCTGCACCCTGCCCTTCCATCGCTGTGTTCATCCCTGAAAGGGGGCCAGTCAGGGAAGACTGCCTGGAGGAGGAGTTTGGTCAGGGCTTTGAAGGGAGGGAGGATTGGGGGAGGCTGAGATTCAAGCAGGGTGCTCTAGAGCAAAGGAACTGAGGTGGGAAAGCATAGGGTGTTTCCGGGACTCAGTGAAGGGACCCACTGGAGGGAAGAGAGGGTGTGGATGGGAGGGGTTTAAGATGAGGCTGGTGAGGTAGGTGGGGCTCTGGTGGGGTGGACCAGGCCAGGCAGGGGTCTGAGCAGGGACCATGGGCATCAGCAGCTGGGCCCAGGCCCCGTCAGAACAGATGGGAGTCAGGGCACAGGGCTCCTGGCCCCACCCAGCCTGCCCTGCCCAATGCACATGTCTGCCCTTTGGGACCCAGGGCCCAAGGCTCCAGAAAGGAAAGCAGAAAGGAGTCTTCTGCAGTCAAAGGGTAGGGCTCAGCCTTCTGGTTCCAGCCCCCTGACCTTGAACTGGGCTGCGACCACTGGGCTCAGCAGGGCTGCAGAGTCACTGCCCTCTGTGAGCTTGTTTCTGCATCTAGGGAAAGGGAATAGCAATGCTGCCTCCACCTGGCAAGCGTTCTGCAGAAGGTGAGTGTTTGTGAGGGATGGTGACTGGGCTAGGGTCACCATCATCACCTGTCTCTCCCTGTGGTGGTTGGGACGTACCAGAGGGAGCCTGACTTAGGAGGGCCTTCAAGGTTCTGGAGGAAGAAGGGGCAGCACAGAGCACTCCCAACTCACCAGCCATCAAGGTCAACAGCCACCTGCTTGTAAAGAGTAAGTGTGGCTGAAGCAGGACCACTTCTGTGGGCTGGGGCAGGGTGGCCAGCCGTTCGGGGGTGAAAGGGGTGGGTGGGCAGAGCCGGTTAGTGGGCAGCCCAGATCGCCGGGAAAGCCCCCCAGAGAGGGCGACTGAGAGCCCTGTCTGTGCGCCCTGCCAGGTGACCTGTCCCACGCAGCCAGTTGCCCACCCAGCTCCTGCTCAGTGGGCCGCAGGATGGGCCAGCCGGGGGCAAACATGTGTCTCCAGGGCAGCACCAGGCAAAGTGAAACACCCCGTGTCATCACGCAGTCTTCTTCCCGCCTCTCTCCCCGAGGGGGCCGCCCTCTGCCAGCCCTTGACACAACCACCCCAACTCTCCAGGCTATGCACCTGCAGCCTGGAACTTTCCATCACCTAGAGCCAATCCCCCCTCCCCCCACCCCCCCCCCACCATCTCTCCACTCCCCCTCACCCTCTCCTGGTGCCAGGCTAGAAACCCAGCACCACTGGGCCTCCCCTGTGGCCCCACCGGCTCACGCCTCTTCTCACCGAGCCCTCTGCTGCGGTCTCCTCAAACATCTCACCTCTTCCCTCCTCCCCTGGTGCCCGGCAGGCCCAGCCTCATCTCCTCTCACCCCATCCCTTGAGGCTGCCTCCCACTGCCCCTCAGCCCCGTCCCTCCCATGCACACTGCAAGGTGGCTCACAAACCTTCCCCAGACTCCCTGCCTTCCTACTCACACAGGTGTAAATCTGGCCTTGCAGCAGCGGAGCTGATGGGAGCCTGTGGCGACACACCTGAGCTGGGTCCCAGCTCACGCCTCCCAGGCTGGGCCACCTTAGGCAAGTCACTTCCCCTCTCTGAGCCTGTTTCCTCACCAGGTAGGGTGACGCCTACGTGCATCACTGCCGGCAGACAATGGGCCTTCCAAATTATGAGAAGGAACACATACATGCAAAACAAGGAACAACTCAGTTCATAGAGGTAAAGATGAACAAAGAAGCACCACAAATGAAAAG